CCTATGTAATACTGGGGAATAAACAGGGGCGTAGCTAGAGTTTCCAGCGCCCTGGGACAACTGAAGAATTTGCGCCCCTTTCTGTGTACCAAGAATGGAAAACACTTCATTAAAAAATTTCGTAGCATAAATTTGGCGCCCCTTGGATGGTGCGCCCGGGGTCAGATGTCCCCCCTTGCCCCACCCTAACTATGCCACTGGGAATAAATTGTGTTTTGATTTTTCACAAGTGTTATCATCACTTACTCCAAATCCACGAACCCGCAGAAAGCTATCATTATTTAAATTACTTTCACTGAAAAGAATCTTTTTAAATATTTACAAAGATATTCTGTCCATTTTTATTTAATTCAAAAGTTAGTATTTATATACACGTAAAAATATGCGAAATAAAAACAAGGTCTTGTTTTTTTTTTTCTATTTTTTAGGAGGGCATGTATTTTCAAAGATCTATGCACAGTTTAATTATGATATGCCTTTTTAGTAATGTCGCATTCTGCGGCTAGAATACTTAAACTATTTTATTTGGAATCTTCTAGTGGATCTAATGTGGATTATTTTTAATTCATGATCTTTCTTATTAGAGTTAATGCAAGCTGAGAAAGAAATGACCTTCAATTTGCCATTAAATAATTGCTTTAAAGTGCAGCTTTTGATGCTCTGCCTTTATTTAATAATTTGTGCAACTGAATTTATATACGCTTCGATTAATCTTTTAGACAGCAGCACAATTTAGTATAAAAATGTTCTTCAAAGACGAATTTCATTCAGGCATATTCTATACCACTTATATTTGTTTATATTATATTCTAAATCTTTTCTCTATAATAATCCAACATTTTTTTGGTGTACATGTTGTTGTTGGGCGCATCATCATGGTGGGCGTATTTCTGAGTTTAAAAATATCTGCGTAATAAAAATCTAGTGGAGTAGCTAAAACTGAAGTCATACATTTTATTTACAATTTTTAAATTAAATGTAAGTTATCTGATCTAGAGACGCAATCAAGTAGTCGTGCGGTTATAATTGAAAATGTTATTCAAATTATTATTTTGTGCAGTTTCGTTAACCGTATAAAATATCATAGTAGTTTTCTTTAATTTTGAGGACATTTCAAAATATATGCAGAACTTTTTGTCCAAACTTTAATAAAGTACAATAAAAAAAATAAATAACATAGTCGGTTCTTAAGTGTATGTGGGTGACAGCTTATGTAACCCAACGAGTGAAAAGGTTCTGGATAGAAGATGAGGTGCAAAATAGAATACATCTAGATTGAAATTGCATGAAACAGATTGCATTACATATGAAATTCTTTAAAAAGGGAATGAACTAAAAGAAAAATTCTTAAAAAAAAAGCATATGTATAAAAGTGTATCCATAATATTTACCAGGTGAATATAAGTTTATTGAACATAACTTTTATTTAAATAGATTTATATAAAACTTTAGTTAAAAGTTTAGATGTGATATTTTAAAGCAAGTTTTAGTTGAATTATTGATATCATTTTTAGAACCAGTTTTTTAGTTATGAATTTATTTTACATCCTGCACCATTTTAACAGGGGCCTTTTTGTGGAACTCCTTTACCATGTAAAACCAGTCTAAATGCATTTCGCTGTATGCAGGCAAATTGCACCTGCAAATTAGCTCATGCATTTTAGTAATGGAAGTTTAGTAGTATGCTCATGCATTTTGCATTTTGGAATTCTAACGAAATTACATCATAGATGTTGTAGCAATCATTTCATCTTAAAATCGTTCTTCGAAGCAGCAATAAAATTACTACAGACGTAGATCGATTCGTTGGATTTTAATATCCGCTGTTTAGCTTAGACGCAGCGGTTCTCAACCTTTTGACTAACGCGTATCATCTAAGCAAAAATTGAAAACCTTTAGTACCACCACTACAAAGTACCATTACCACCATCACTCTTGAAGAAAGCTCGGATCGCATAAATTTACGATTGTTAGAGAAAAAAACTCAATCAGGATGTTGGGGGTTTTAATTTTTGAATTTAATAGTTAAAAACACTTTGCTTTTTTTGCGTACCACCTATTTTTCTCTTACGTACCACCAGTGGTGTGCGTAACATAAGTTGAGAACTCCTGGCTTAGAGCTTGATTTCTTCTGACGCATGCGCAAGTCACCCTTATAGAGGCGCTTTCTCTCTTTATGTATATGCTTTGCTTCGTTTTTTTTCTATCTCCTGTGCCAAAGCTATCAATGTTCTGATTATTATATGACATGATGCCCACTTTCACAATACTTCCGACAGGCTTTGTCAACTACAAATACAGCCCCCTACAAAAGATTTATGGTCAAGCAACCCTCAATACAGAAGAAATACGCATAATGATGTTAAAACCCGAAGCGCTAGGCATTAAACTCTGCAGTGCAGAACAGGGTCCCATTTAGCCATAGGATACCTAACTCATACATACGTACATTTTATACCAGTTAATGTAATGTTAATGCATAAGTTTAACGCTCAATGGATTCGAAAAAGGGAGTGCACTTTTTTATGTTATGTATGTATTAACGTAACGTATGTATGCATGCATTATTAATGTAGAATGTATAACGAAGTATGTAGTTATAACGTAACTTACATAATGTGCACTGGTATTGCAATATGTCTTTAGAGTTTAGGAACTTTTATTATTGTATGTATTAATATATCGAGTGCACTATTAAGGGGACTCATACACCTTAAAACGCATAAGATGTTCGAATAGGTGACTGTTGCAAGAATTGGGATAACTTATTTATTTTAAAAGCAATTAATACCAACATTTTACAGCTGACTATATAATATAGCTGCTTTCTGAAATAGTAATCAGAAAGTTTGTGTTGCCAAAAATATTTTTATAATTTAATCCGTTTGTGACAACATTTTTCGTCATGTTTCCAACTTGCGCGCACAGTTTAAAACATTCTGTTTCATAATTTAATTCCATATTTAATATATAGCTTTTATAACATTTGGAAACTACTGTAAACCTAAAATTCTAAAAATTTCATGTTAAATTTTTATTTTATTTTGAGTTGAGTATATAAAATGTATTTTATTAACAAAATTTGTAACGTTTTCGTCCATAAAATTTTTCAATATTAAAATATTCATCAGATTGTTGGTTCAGATAGAAAATAGTGCCCACATAAAGAAGTCCATCTAATTTCAAGTACGTACCATTAGCCATTTTTAAAATATCATGCGCGCAAGGTGGAAACATGGCGAAATATTTTGTCACAAAGAGGATTAAATTACAAAAATATTTGTGGCAACACAAACTTTCTAGTTACTAGTTTCCAAAGCAGCTATGTTATGTAGTCATCTGTAAAAAGTTGGAAATAATTGCTTTTAAAATAAATAAAATATCCCAATTCTTGCAACAGTCACATATTCGAAGATCATGAGGGGTTTAAGGTGTATGAGTCACCTTAATATATAATGTACAACGATGTATAGCTACTGTCTTAATTCAGCATTGGTATTGTAAGAATCCGCAGTACGTCTGTCTTCCTACATCAGCTCCTGTTTGGCAATATTGTTTTTCTGGACAGTTGCGGGATCCAGACGATACCCAAATAGTCGATGAAATCCCCCGCATGTCCGAACCCTGCTCTCAACTCTCATATGCTATCTACTATGTTCATCTATCTGATTAAAATGCTGATTCATATTATACGGTTTATAATATGAATGAACATTTTAATCAGATAGAATTCTGTCTCATTTTTCTGTCATGATTGTTAAGGCTTCGTTAAAGCTCTCTTATGTTCTTGGGTTAAATAAATATATTTGCAGTTTTCAAAATTAACAGTTTTGTAAAACTGACCAATATATTTTGTGCCAAATTTCGTTGTCGTGATCCCTATGAAAACTGTAATATTTTATAAATAGCAGCTTCGCTGCCAGCCTTCGTTTGGCTTTTAAATGTACCTGAAAAATGGCTGAAGGGAACACCAAACGTTAAATTTAAAACCTGCGTAGAATTTCAGAACAACTTCATAAAAAAAAGTTATTACGTATAGCAAAATTACAATGAAATAAGCAATGTCCCTTAATACAAATATTAATTATCCTAATAAATAAATTAACCAAATTCCCTTTGCAAAATCTTAAGAACTCAAATGTCATAAAGGAGGTTAAGAACTTTGTTTCCTAAAAAAATCACTCAAAACTTTTCATTATCTTAAAGACAGTGAAATGAGAAATAAATAACATAAAAGAATATAAAAAACAAAAAATTCTGAAAAGCGAAGTATAATTAATGATATTTTATCTTATATTTTAAAGAGAAAAACATTGCAATGAAATAAGCTATATTCCTTAATACAAATATTAATTATCCTAATAAAAAATTAACCAACTTTCCGTTGAAGGAAAACAAATCATACAAAACTTTTCGATATCTTACAAATAGAAAAATAAGCAAAAAATAACATGAAAGAAACTCAAAAATAAAAAATTCCGCGCAGAATTTTACTCTGCAAAACAACTTTATCCAAAAAAAAAAAAAAAAAAAATCAATAAAAATGTATTATAAATATTAAAAAAAAAAGACAATGAAATATGCCAATCTCTTAAAAACAGTGACATAAGAAATACGATGGAAAATTGTTCCCAAACCCACATTTCTAAAAGAATGAAACTATTCAAAATGACGCGATTTCATCAAAAATCTATCAGCAACAATAAGAAAGGAAAATTGTTGCCAAAATCACATTTTTAAAGATGTGAGATGTGAGAAGTGTACTCGGAAGCTTCATTTAAATTTTTAAAAAAAAATACAATTTAGCTTTGGTCAATTTAAAGACTGGTTAGTAGAGTTTAAAATTTATTTTTGCTGTTAAGAAATTAACAGTTCTAAGAAAAATAAAACTGTGCTCGTGCAGAAGTAAATAATATGTCTCTTAACTTTAAAAAAAACTTATTTACTTAATCTGAATAATGCTGAGTTATTAGATATTTAAAAACTTTCGTATTTTGCAGATGCGGCCGTTTTATAACTTCAGGAATTTTGCCATACATTTAGCTGTTATCCTGGCTATTATGGTCCACCATTCTTTAGCCTTTTTCTGGCCTGAAGCATATCATCATCCAATTTATTACCGAAGATTTGGATTTCCATCCAGACCTTTGAAGCATGGACCTACACCAAAGTTCGACAAGGATGTCCAAGACAGAATTCGATCTTTCATCGATCCCTTTTACATTCCAACTACTCCATCTTACGAAGACATTCGACCATATTTCAGAGACAAAGGCATTGATTATCCTGATCTCACAGCTCTGCACCCGAATGTCATAGGAAGGTAGCACGGGCGTGGATGATGTCATAATATGTTATTTCAATTTTAATGAGCTTTTTGTTGTTAATCATATTTGTTTTTATAATTAGGATATTGTACAGAAACTAATATATTTTTAATAAACTGTTACAATGTTAGATTCTGAGTTTCTATCTCTTTTTATATGTGTTTTGATCTTTATAAAATGAGTTATAGAACCATAACTATAATAAAGCAACATATTCTCAAAAATGACTGAAATATAATTCGAGCTACCTATACCCGAGAAAAAATATCGGCAGTATTTCACGATTCAAAATTTATCAGAAGATTCATGTTGAAAAAACTGGACTGGGAATTCATCAGACATAAATCCGATCGAAAACTTGTGGTATATTCTGAAGGAACACCTTAGCAAAATGGATTGTATAACAAAATAACGCATGATTAAGAATGTTGTAATAATGTGATTTCATGATAATGAAGTAAAACATATATGTACAAGATTAGCAGAATCAATGCCAAAGAGCATTATAAAAATCATTTGTACTAAAATTAGACATATTTCCTGTTAATTTTATTATTATCACTGTGTATGAAGGTACGTACGTAAATTATCAAAAAATAATAAATATTTATTTAACCGAATTGTCCTACATGTTCTGAAAATGTGCTAAGAATACATATTACAAAATTTAGCATTAAGATAAAATTTTATTTATCCTGGAGAGATCGAGAACCGAATCACAAAATACCGGATGAAAGACCACTCTTTTAAATATATAAAAGTAAAATTTAAATCCTTATACAATAAAATGTAATTTAGTTACAAATATATTTTAATGATGAAATGTAAAGAATTGCTAGGTTATAACAATGCAGGAACGTTAAAATTGTGCAGTGCCCTCCCGAGGATTCGAACTCTGGACCTCCTGAGTACGCATCGAACTTGCCTCTAGTTACACTACAAAGACTTGCAGAAAAGAGGGAGAAAATGCCTTACAGGCTCCCCCATATTAAATGGTGGAATTGGGAATTAAGGAACCCAATCGCCAAATCCTGGCGGGGATGAATTATCGTCCTCCACCTTTTGGTTTGGGTGCTGCTTTTACTTATACTTCTTATAGAATTTTCGATGTCAGAAAAATGAAGAATGTGCAGTGCCGTTACCAGGATTCGAGCTCCACACCTCCCGAATACCCAGCTACACCACAAATGGCATGCGGAAAAGTGGGAAAAATACCTTAAAAATTTATTTTATGACTGTTATTCACCTATTAAGATCTGTTAAGATTAATAGGTGAATAACTATTAATTACCCGTAAATTACTCATTGTACTTCTAACAGCCTTTTCAACTGGAAAAATTATTTATGTTATTTTATTTTCAATGGCAAGAGAAATTATTAAAATTAAAAATATCAAGGCCAACAGATGTTAATTATATAGTACAGATAATAAACAGGTTGCAGGTATTGTGTTGTTTAGCTCTATGGTTCGTCGCCGTCTCCTGCAGCATGAACTGAGTGCTACGTTCCCTCTACGTAGGATTTTCCTGTCGCTGAAACAGAGGCGCCTCCGAGTTCAAGTAGCACGACACACAATGCGTGCCCTGTGGCAACAATCCGTTATCTCCGATGAGTCTCGCTATAGTCTGTAGCACAATGATGGAAGAGTACCCTTCAGACGTTACAGAGGGAAACGTCTGCTCCTATAGGTGTGTTATCCGGAGTCATACCGCACAAACGACTAGCTTCATGGCGTGGACAGCTATTGGGCATAATTGTCGATCTCATCTAATGCAGATTGCGGGCAACCTCAACAGTGATTGCTATATAAGGAATTTGTGGAGCCAATAGGTCTTTCCCATTCTTCTACGTATTCCGGGCGCTCTATGTCAGCAGGATAAAGCTCGTGTACATGTTTCTCAACCTGCACAAGCCTTTTTTAGGGCACACCAGATTTCGCTATAGAATCCTGTTCCCAAGATAACATACAGAACTCTATCATTCAATGCCACGACATGTAGCGGATTTCATCGCTAAGCGTAGCGGACACGCACAGTGCACTGATTTCCGACGTTCGTTTTTTTTTTAGTCCAAAGAGGCTTTGTCTCTGAAGAACTATTGTTTTCATTTTGCGTTGAATCACTATAAATGTCCGTTTCACTTGTCAAACTGTTGCCATCAAATGTTACGCTTCTGCATTATATTTGAAGAAATTAATATTTAGTTTTAATAAGGGACTTGACTATTGAGTAATAAGAAATTATTGAACTGCAATATTTTCATATCTAATAATGCACACTAATTTTTAAAAGATAAGTGGCCAGAAATCAAAGCCAATAAAGTTTGCGTACAACTCGAAGGAAGCGGGGGATTTCTTATCTAACTTTCAAGCTTCAAACTTGAGAATGCAAAGAAGGTTACACTTTCAAGGTCATTGACTTCCGAAGCAAATTTCACGTTGATTGGAAGTTATTATTTCTACTTTCTTTGACAAAAATGACAACCAATAAAGAAATTCCTTTAGTTACGAGACAACTAATTATCAAATTGAGAGATGAAGGTAAAACTCTTCGTTATATTGGTAAAACCATCGGAAACCCATTTTCTAGTGTGCAAAGAGTTATTCAAAACTATCTTGACACTGGTAGTCTTGCTGTAAAACCAAGATATGGGAGATCGAAGAAGCTAACGCAGAGAGAAGAAAGAAAAATTCTTTTACGAATTAAACAAAATCCTAAACTTTCTGCTGCAAGCATTGCAAAAGACATTTTTTAACTAGCAACAAGAAAATTTTTCCTGAAACTGTACGAAAAGTGCTGCGAAAGGCCGATTATCATTGACGCAAACCTAGGTCTAAGCCATACATTACCGAGACAAATAGAAAGAAAAGAATTGCTTTTGCCAAAACATATTTAAACTCTTCGCAGGACTTCTGGAATAATGTAATTTGGTCAGATGAAAGTAAATTTACAATATTTAAAGTTAATGGCCACCCTATTGTATGGAGAAAACCAGGAACAGGACTGAATCTGAGAAATTTAAATCCAACTGTCAAACATGGAGTTCGCGGTGTGATGGTATGGTAGTGTATGTCGTCGAAAGGAGTTGGAAATTTTCACATTATTGATAAAGTCATGGATAAGTATGTTTATCTGGATATTCTAAGGAAAAATCTACGAGACAGTGCCCGAAATTTAAACCTTTTTAATACATTTATTTTCCAACAAGACAACGACCCGAAATATACAGCTAAAATTGTGAAGGAATATCTCCTCTATCACACTCTAAGACAGTTGCGCACTCCTCCACAGTCACCAGACCTCAATCCAATCGAACACTTGTGGGCAAAATTGGAGAAACGAATTCGAAAGCACAATATTACGTCTCGAAATGAGCTAATGAGCTAATTAGTAAATTGCAGGAAGAATGGGCGAAATTTACGTCGAATGATACTGAAAAACTAGTTCAGTCAATGCCAAGACGTCTGCAAGCTGTTTTGAAGAATAAAGGATATCCTTCAAAGTATTGAAGTAATGTAAACACTTTTTTAAAAAGTGTACGCAGACTTATTAAAGGGATTCTCTGAGTTTTTTTTTGAAAAATATATTTTTGAAAAAATGTAAAAAATATTACACTGATATTATTTACTTTTTATTTAAGCTTACAATTTTAGCTAATAAATTAAAAAATACAATGATTAAAATACATTTTTCTATGCTTTAAGTGTTTATTTTAATTTAAAATTTAGTCTGTACGCAGACTTTCGTGGCTAACTGTATATTTCTCGCATTGTGGTAAATCAACTGTACTTAGAGCCATCCAATTTTGAATGACGCAATCCTCCTACTAATATGGGCATGTGGAAGACCAAATTTTATTATCGTTTTCCTATTTTGTAAAACTTTAATCATTTTTTGAGTAATAAACTCGACGATTTAAAAGCGAACAATGGCAACACTCTACGGGGGTAAAAACCTTTTTATCACCAGCGCGCGGTACGGTGTATAGGAAATTCTAAACATATGCTCATTTAAAAATTATTTTGCGACATTGCTATTGAACTGAATTGTATGGTTTAAGTGCAAAGAACATGATGTTTAATATATAAAGGTAACACACAAAATGTTAAAAAAACGCCCCTTTGGACGTAATATAAAATCTGAAAGCTTTCAGATTTTTTTTGTCTTGTCTTGTAAGTTAGATCCACTATCTATAATATGTGAGATAAATTTTATTAATTTCAAACAATTTCTTCATGGTATTGCGTTTTTCACAAACATTTAGTGTATGTTACGATTCAGCAGATGGTGGTTGAGAAGATTTTAAGCTAGATTTCAGTCCCGAGCAGATATTGAGCATGCTATAGAATTTTTGTAAAGTTGATCCTGAAACAATGAAGTTTCAAAGTCCACCAACATCTTGACCATGTAGTCTCTATTTATCAAAAATTACATCACAAGATAAAAAAGTCGTTCATTTTTCAATGATTTTTTACTTTATTAATAAAATATTTAATAATAATTTTTTATTAATAAAATATCTGAACATTAAAAACAGAGATACTAATTTTCATTAACTGTGAAGATTTTATCTTCTAACAAAGTTTTATCATTTTTTTTTTTTTTTTCAATTTCACGTTAACTGAAAAGTGAATTATGCTATTCACTTATATTATGAAAAGTGAATTATATTATTCACTTATATTGTGAAACGTGAATTATATTATTCACTTATATTGTGAAACGTGAATTATATTATTCACTTGTATTGTGAAAAGTGAATTATTTTCGGTATTCTGTTGTAAGGATTATGCTAATTTTATTAACAGTTAAATTTTAAGTTCCTTTCCTGTCAAATTCTTAATTCCAACTTACTACTTCCGGCCAGAACGTAGTTTTAGAATCACGTCTGAATGCATAATGAGGAAGAGCGGTATTTAACCGCGAAGTTCTTTGGTCTTAGCGAGAGAGAATCAGAGTTTCTGATTTATGCGCGTCTGCCTTTTGGCCACTCTCTCTCTCAAAGTTGTTATTTCGCTCGGCCGTACTCAGGCCCATGTTAAGCTTCGTAGTCAAATAGAGTTAAGGGACCAAATAGTCCAGAATCTTGATAGCTTCCGCTATATTTCTTTAGTTAATCTTAGTTATAGTTT